AGAAGATCACTGAGTTTATGTATCAGGAAACAGGTGATTCTGTTAATGAGAGCCAAGCTAATAGAAATAAGTCCAGAGTATGCATGTCTGGTGTGGTACAGGAGTCACTAGTAGGATTTTAGTTCTCCTTTGTATGCCAGTTTTAAAAATGTTAACAATTATGTATTAATGTTTTATAAGAAATAGTAATGCTCTTTGGAATAGGCAAAATTTAATTAGTGGCTTTAGATTCATTTTAAGAAGTGACATCATATTAATAATAGGCAGATATATAGGCAAAATCAGGAAGGAAAACTGAATAAACATATCAGTTGGAGTTCTCCATAGAAATATATATATATATATATATATATATATATATATATATATATATATATATATATATATAATAGATGGAGAGAGAGAGAGATTCTGAATTTAAACAAGTGGCTCATCTAAATGTATGGATTGGCTAGTGCAAAATTCACAGCAATAGGAAAGGCTAGTAGGCAAGAAATTCGGATGGAATTTCTAGTCTTGAGGCTGTGTGTGTTTATGCATGTAGTACTTGGGGTTGAACCTAAGGCCTTTGTGTTGAACTTTATCCCTAGCCCTTTATCTAGTTTTAAATTTTTTTTTTTTTCAAATTTTGAGACAGTGTCTTGCCAAGTTGCTAAATCATCCAGGCTGGGCTTGAACTAACAATCTTCCTGCTTCAGCCTGCCAAGGTACTGGGATTACAGGTATGCACCACCACACCCAGCTCAAAAAATTTTTAAGGAAACCTCAGTTTTGTCCTTGAGGCTGATTGGAATGAGGCCTACTCACACAATCAAAATCTCTTATTTAAATCAGCTGATCATAAATATTAATCACAACTATAAAATTCTTTCAGAGACTTCAAAGATAGTGTGACACCATGCTACTGGGTTCCACAGCCTACCGAAACTGGCACAAAGATTAACCATCACAGTAGGAAGCATTCATTTAGTGAGTCTGAATTTACAGATGTGCATTTGCAGGTACCAGTGGGTCATAAAGGTGGAAAGGCTCAGCAGGTTTAGAAATGAATGTGATTCATGAGCAATCACTCTGCTTTCAAGTGTTCGACCATTTTTATTCTGAAACAGTCTGGAAAATGCCCTTCATAGAGTTGCACGTCATACTGTTAAGTGAAGGAATGTTTCTACGGGTTTCCCCTTAGGTTTGTTTTACATATTTGTTGCAGCATTACATTGTAAGCATCTACCATAAAGGATTGCTCTTAATTTGTATTCAGATGGAAGCAAACAGAAGGAAAAATACAGAAGCAGAAGTCTTGTAATTATGCTACATAAAATTATTAGGCAATTTAGAAAATTGTTAGTGGGAAACTGCCCATCATGCATAAAAATAATTCTGATTTTGACATTCAGAGTTTAATGTAAGAATGATTATAGGGAAACTGTACTATTAATTTTTCTTTTAATTGTTCAAGCACATTTAAATTTGGTGTAAAAAAAAGTGATATCTCTGTAAAACTGAGTAACTCCAGTAAAGAGAACCCTGTGTGACTCTTTGACAAAGTTCATTCTGCAAGGCTTTCTGTGAATGGTGAAACTGTCAGGACAAGAAAAATCATTGTGTTCTTTTCCCTCTGCCAATTCCAGCTAACAGAAAAATGACATAGTTTCCTACAAGCCGAAGTATATACATTTGCAGGCATATTGAGGTAGTTAGTGGAGGTATCTATTGTCTTAAATATAGGAAAATACTTAACTCTTATTTTGGATGTACAGAATTGTTTATTGAAACATTTGTCAATACAATGATAAATGTGCTCAGTTAAAATTATGAACCTGATACCTCTCCATCCTTGTTAGAGATGATTTCTTGCAACATTTAAGCTAGATATGACTGTCGATATTTAATCAAGACTTATTTTCCAAGGGTTCAAAGTATACATTTTCTGCTGACTGTAGTCAGTTTATACTAGTCTGTCACAAATCTGTGCTCAGTTGTAGTAAAAAAAAAAAAAAGCTATGAAATATACCTTTATAGTTAAGAAACTATGAAATGAACCTACAGTCGTTCATACTCATTATCGTGGCACGTAGTTGACCTGTTTTGCCTCTCCCAACCCCAATCTCCGCATAAGGAATTAGCTCAGCCCTTTAACGTTTGTTGTAGCACATGATTCTGCACCCTCCTGTGTAGCAATAGGCTTTACTATCAAACACATTCATCCTCTCACAATAGATTGAACTATCAGACCCTGAAATTGTAGTCCATTTGTACAGAGTACCAATGTGTGAGTGTTTATACACATGTTAAGTTCAGAAGCAAGTGTGAAAAGGTTGTCCAAAGCACTCAGAGAGAGACAGAGAGAGCTAAGGAAAATCTAGAACTCCGGAGAAAGTTCGGGTCCCACTTGCTACTTAGGATAAGCCACTTGCCCTTCATCCTGCTGATTGGGTTTCATCTTGCTTGACAATCTGGTTCTTCCATGATTGGGAAACAGAGCCCTCTTTTCCATATTTGTCTTACCCTGTCTCCGAAGCCCCATGAACCTGTATCCACTCTCTCTATTCCACATATCTGACCATCTCAGTGTTTTCTGAATGAATCTTGCTCTTCTGGCCCTATGTGTTTTGCATATGGAAGAATGGTCATGGTAGAATCATGATGTGGCAAAGTCAGCTCTCACTTCACCTCCAGGCTCCACCTTTGCCAAGCTGTGTGATGTTAGGGATGTTATTTCCATTCTCAGGCTTTTCATGTAAAAAATGGAGAAAACAACACTGTCGTGGGAGGGCTCTAAGAATAATGGAATGAAATATTATCCTCATGACTTCCATAGTGGTTCTCAACATTTTTGTCATTCTAATGCCATTTTCTATTGTCAAAAATTAAGGCAGATCATGGCTCAACTTTTAATACCCAGAACAAGCTTTCCCTATTTGAGTCCTCAAAAATCAGTCATTCTTTCCCCTCAGATCCATAAAAGAGGCTGATAAACCCACAGCACACAGGTAGAGGTCCACTGAAAAGGACACCCTAGAAAGTGATGGATGAGTTGGAATCTAATGATTGTGTAGGGGCACAAGTGAGCAGAGAAGAAGTCCAGGCAAACAAGGGTGAAGAAGGAGCATAGTCACAGTAAGGCTCTGGTAGACAACCTGTACACCTGAGATGAGGCTCTTTGCTTGGCTTGTGGCAAAGCCAGCAGGGTGCATTGAACAGTGTTGGTTTCTCTCTAAAACTCCTACTAATAGGACCAGTTTCTGCTTGCTTCTTACATGCCAGATGTTCTTCAATGCCCACAGTGCACTGATTTATGCTATTATATATGACCCTGTATAGTAGATGCCAGTACAGTCCCAATTTTTCAGAGGGGAAGCTGAGGTACAGAAAGTTACAGTAACTCTGAGAATGGGTACAGCCAGTGTAATGGTATATCCCAGATGCAGACTAACAGGGTAATGTCCAGACTTCCTACAGGTTACCACTGTGCAGCAAGCATGTTGAGCAGTGAGCCCTGCGTGCAGTGCATAGTGTCCCAGTGAGATCTGCTAAGGGGTCTGGGCTCTGAGTCTCTGTCTGGGCATGGGCAGGAGGAATGGCAAGAGTCCAAAGCAGATGCCAACATCGGCTGGCTGGAATGCAGAAGTGCAAATGACTGATTCTGGTAGTTTGGATGAGATTAGTTAGAAAGTGTTATTTTGTGAAAGGAAATTTCAATTTAACCAGAACACCTTGAAGTGAAGGCATTGAATCGGAAAGGATGTTTTAAATTGCTATCAGAATTTGTCATTTTAGTGATGGAAACATTTCAGGGCCAAATGTGCCATACTGCAGCTTTATGGAAGGGATTGTTTGAGGGAAATAATTGCCAGCTCCTATAGTACGCAAACCCTGAAGCAGGGGTTGAGAGGAAAGGCAGTGCACCTCATCACAAGGTACAGACTCAGGGCGGTCAGAGCAACTGGGCTTGGGTGGGTCTGCTAAACTTGAGTACCTGCTACCTGTGCATTAGTGGGACCATAGCATCCACAGGGGAGCTATTTGGGAAACTTTAGATACAAAAAAAGCTGAGAATTATTGGGCACAATACCAAAAAAACCACCTTAGATTATGTGAGTTGAAAAGAAAGCAAGAAGCTACATTTGGATCTTTCACTGGGAGCATCTGAGCTTAGTCAGTGGAGGAAACGATAATTTTGTTGATGGAAAAAGTGACAGTGTTGACAATATTCTCTGTGTTCTCTGTCTTTAATTTACACTATTTGGCAAAAGAAAATCTCAAGTGTAAAGACTTTAAAATGCAGTCAGATATTTAAGTCTCACAAACTTTCCTTAGAGATGCACTGAGCTTCTTTTTCAGGTGAAAAAAAGTGTAAAAACAAAAAAGGTCCCTTGAAATTACCCCTCTCCAAACAGTGCACCATTTTAAGGTACACTTTAGGCAGCATAATGCACTAAACATGCCTTTTAGAGATAACTCAAGACTATCACTGATGTTTCTAAGTAACTGTTAAGCCCTAAACTAGAATGTTTTCCATTACTGAACAACCTTGAATGTAGTGCAATAATCTGTTTTGACAAAGTGGAAAACGATTAGTGGAAATGACATCATAATTTCAGAAAATATTTATAAATTTTGATTTTTTCCTAATTTAAGGCAAATTAACCCACCAAGAATTGAAAGAAACCATCTCTATAAAATAAAGCAAAATTTAAATGTTCCAGAAATATCAAAATACGTTTTCAAATAGAAAAATCTGTCCCTTTTTGGAGCAGTGTACTTTCTTTGATTACTGCCCTAAAACCAGAACTGAGATTCACAATATATTCCAGTTTTATGGATGTTGACACTAAATCATAGACAAACTGAATCATTTTTCCGTAGACAAGTTACTGAAGCCAGTAGACTTTTGTTCAATAATTTGGCTTTGTTTTTGTGTTGCTCTGACAGACGTCAGCCCTCAGTAATTATATTTGCTTTTTAACTGAGTATTTATTCATTGCATACTTATATGTGCTTAAAGAACCAAATGACTTTATTTGGAAACAAATTTACGTGCTATGCAAGCACAGTGACACAATATTTTAGTCTGTTTTCAGACTTTTCCATGTTTGCTCCATGTTTTTCTCTCTATTTGTTTTTCTAGATTTATTTAAAGAGTTGTGAGGTAACATGGATCGGAATCCATTTTGTAAACAGGTGACAAACTTAGCTCAAGCTGACTAGCACATGCACGTGGATCCATTGTCCTTTGTTGTGCTGCTGGGAAAGTTTTAATCCAGGCACTCAAGAGAAGTCATGAAGGGCTCCGTTACTGTCCACCATCTTCTTTTAAAGGAAACAGCTTACAGACTCATCTCTGCCTTCTCTCTCCATGATGCTAACGTGCCGCCCATTTCTACTTAGTTCCCTGGTCGTCTCAGCAGTGTGCTCTTCTACTGAAATACGGGGCTATCATTGGCTTCTGGGTCAGTTCATTCTTGGTCTCTTCTGTGCCTTTGTTTTCCATAATGACTTGGCCCTCCTTGCTGTTGTGTCCTAGTATCAGGAGGGAGCGATCCGTAGTGATCTCATCTGAGTCCACTGTACAGTTTAAAATATTTAGTAATGTTGCTGTTCTAGACAGAGCAGACACAATTATGAGTGCAGTGATTTCACACCAACACTGCAGTTATGGCTCACATAACTACATATAAATGTTCATCAATTTTTATCTTAGACTGTATTTACCTTTAAGGAACAAATAACCCAAGTGGTTTGGATTTAAAATATACAGAGCTGAAAATATTTATTGTTCCCATTTGCAATTTTTGCTGTGAAAAAAAATCATGCCACCTTATGTATGTACCTAAGAGATGTCTTTTCCTCCAAAATGGTACAGGTTTCTGTTTGCTCCAATCCAAATTATGCAGAATGGCCCAACCACTCTGGAAAACATTTTGACAGGTTATTAAAAAAATATACAGTCACCACAGGACTTCACAATCCACTTCTGAGAAATTATCCTAAAGAAATGAAATTTATGTTCATATGTAAACTTGCAGGGTAATGTTTATAGCAGCACAGTTTCTAATATCAGTTTCAGCTGGTGAGTGGATAAAGAACCTAAATAATGGAATGCTATTCATAAATAAAAAGGACTATTGATGGATGCAATCTGAACGAATCTCCAGTGGGATTATTCTCAATGATAGTATCCAGATTAAATGCTTTCTGATTTCATTTATGACATTTTCAAGATGCAAAGCTATAGGAGGTGACTGAGGATTACTGGGGATTGACAGTGAGAAGGTGTGATTACTACAGGGACAGCACGGAGGAATTCTTTGTTGTCTTGGGGTGTTCTTTATCTTCTGCTGGTGGTTATAAGCATTTTTGCATGTGTTAAGAGTCATAAAACTCTGTATCCAAACAGAGAATAGTATAAACATCTAAGTTACCTTTGCTGGTTCTGTCAAGCAAGTAAAATAAATAAAGAATAACACCTCTATCTCTCCTCATTTTCCCAACACTCTAAAACCCAATGTGAGGCTATGCTTTCCAATTAACGGTACTTTTGATCTTTGCTTGGCACAAATGGAAGTCTTGGGACCACTTTAAGGAGAAAATGAGTTCAACTGCTACGTGAGGAGGAGTTAACACTTATCTTGTTAAATGTGACATAGAGGGGAACACAGAAGGAAGCTAAGCGGCAACAATGATGTAATCTCTGCGTGACATATGGAGGCTTATGGAGCTGCCTAAATGTAAAGTTATTGAAGTCTGCTCACTATTACAAAAAAGAACGACTGTTATGTAAGAGATCTGGATCACGCCAGCAAATATAGGACTGAATTGCTGGATACTGTCCCTTTGTAAAAACTGAACTTCCGAAATACTTCTGCAGAGCGTATTCAGCTCAACTTTGAGAGATTTTATTATTCCACTGATTTTATTTCTTTTCTTGCCAAGAAGTAAAGATGACATTAAAAATGAGTCTTAGGCCCAGGTCTGTGTCTGCTTGCTTTTTGAAATTAGCCAAAACATGCCTCTCCTCTAGAAATATCAGTCCCAAAATTCTTGTAGTTAACGCTTTATGGTATTAGTGTGGCTTTTTAAATGTATGTTTATGTAATTTTTTTTTAAATTTGGAATGTCTTTAAGCTTTTTGGAAAAGAGCAAGTAATATTCTCCTGGAGACTTAAATTTCTCATGGGTAAGTCATTTTACTATGGGCTGTTTAACATCAGAGGTGCTGAGGGGAAGCCCTAAAGCATGCCATCAAGCCTTGCGCGCACTGTGGACAACTGACTTGACAACTGGAAGGAATACTGGCTACATTTGGTTTTGGGAATGAAATGGTTTACAAGTTATATGTGACTCTTTGCTTAAGCACCAGTGCTACAGAGGGTCTGCAGCTTGGCTGCCTCCTTTATTTGTGCTGCTGTGTGTTCCATGTGCAGTTTAAACATTGTGTATGCTGTTTAGTCAGTAAGCGTTTATTTTTGCATGTTTTGTACCAGCTATCAGCTGAGAAAAGTAAAAGATACTTTGTGAATTTTGGGGAAGAACATAGGAAAAGTTAAAGAAAAAAGGGGGAAATTCTGTCAAAGAAGTTGCTTAAAAGCTGAGTTATGCAAATGTAAAAATTTACACCAGAGTGAATTCTGGAACTTATACCCTGTTAATGCAAACGTTGCCTTTCTGAGTAGTAGAATTTAATGAGGGGTGATTCTCAAACCTCTGACTGTGGAAGCCCTGTTAATTTTTTCCAGAGCACTTTATAGGCCTAGTGTTCTGCTATATACTTTGCAAAGTACATATATATCTAATAGCAAAAAAGATCTGGCGTATCTAAAATATTTAGTATTGAATGTTCTCAACCACACTGCTTAGTGCCTTAGAGTTGGGATTTTGCAAGCAGTGACTGAAGTGCTGTCTGCCAAGCTGCTGGTAACACACAGCCTGGCTTTTGTGAATTATGGTTTTCAAATTGGAATTTAGCAATAACAGCCAAGGTTATCTCAAGATTCTGGAAATGGTATGGTATCTTTTTTAATATTTGGAAAAATTAGAAGATTAAGGCATCTTTTCTATGTGTTAAATTATTTCCTATGTTTAGGAAAAAATGTCAAAAATGCTAAATTTGCAACCAGTATTTGTTGCGAATGGTATGTCCAGTGCATAAGTAGGTTTTCTACCCTAGCTAAACTGAACTGTATAAATTATATATGAATTTTAATAACTTAATATGCAAATGCAGAGTTTTTTCTTTTCTTAGCTCATATATTCCTGCTACATTACTTTTAGACATAATACTCATGCATGTTAATTGGGTGGATTAATTTTAATTTCAGGGAAGAGACTGCATATCAATAGAATTTGGTTCAAGTAAAATAGATTATAGATAATATCTACAAAAATGACGTTGGCTTATTTATCATTGTTTTATTATATCTAAAATATATGAACTCAGTATCAGTGTGGCACTCTAATTTAATTATGAATTTAAATTGTCTTAGGAAAATGTCATTTTTAATAAGCTATTTGAGCACATCAGCCAAACAATTTGTAATCTGCTTATATGCTAGCCTAAAAAGATTTTGTGTATATCAACACTATATTCATGTATATTTAGTGATTAAAGAATGAAAACTAAGCCCTGTGCTTTTATTGAAAGTGAATAAGTAATTATAGGTTAATAATTTATTAGTATACTTGATTCCTTTTTGCAAAGAATTAAAACCTTGATTAATGACTGGGCTGAACTGCAACTTAGAGTGAATATGTATATTGTTCTTAATTTGATCAAAATGGGAATTTTTCTCTGAATCCTATCTGTGGGGGCAAACACACTAGCAAACAATAATTACTGTTATGAATATATCAGGGAAATTGTAGTGGCACTTATTTTTAAGTCTATTTTTAAAGCACATTATTAAGAGATAATTCACATACCTTCAAGTCCTGATTTTAAAGTGGGAAATTTAAATTATTATATTCCTGGAGCTCTGCAAGGATCATCATTGATCCTTGTTAGACTAGAGTATTTTCATCACTCTTAGAAAAACCCTCCTGCCTATTAGTAGTCAGTTAACATTCACCCTCATCCCCTGGAAGCCACACACCCTTTCCTGTCTATGCTCGTGCTTTATCTGGACATTCCACATAAAGAGAATCACATAATACTTGGCCTTTGTGCCTGGCATCTTTAAATTAGCATAATGCTTTCAAAGTATTCCCATGTTGTAGCAGGGATCAGTGTTTTATTCCTTTTTATGAGCAGATAATATTTGTTGTATGAATATTTCATATTTTATTTGTTCACTTGTCAGTTGATGGACGTTTGGTTATTATGAATAATGTTTCCACGGATATCTGCATTTTATCATGTGTTAGCATGTACTTACTGTTATTTTAAACTGTATAAAGAATTGTTAGATCATATGGTAATTCTACATTTAACATTTTGGACAAGTGCCAGTTTTTCACAGTGGCTGCATCACTTTCCAATTCTACTAACAAATCTTAGTTAAGACTAATTTCTCCATATCTTCACCACCAGGTGTTCCTACCCGTCTTTTTATATTAATCGTCCTGTTGGAGTGAAGTGGCACTGCACCGTGGCTTTGTGCATTGTGTGTTTCCTTACTGACTGATGATGCTGAGCAAGCGTTTATGTGCTTATTGGCCATTTATACATTTTTGAAGACAAACCTTTTCAAATTCTTTGTCCATTTCAAAACTTAGATTGCCTTTTTGTTGTTGAGTTATAAGACTTAAAAATATAGTGAACAAAGTCCCTTATGAGGTAGGTGATTTGAAAATATTTGCCTCATTTAGGGAGATGCCTTTCTATAAAAATATAATTTAATTATACATTTATATATTTAAGCTTCTCCATAATATTCAATGTATGGGGAACAGGATGAAAAAATACAGATGTGTTATATATGTGTATCAACTATCCCAAAGGAATATAAATATTGTGTACTGTCAGTTAATTTTTTACATGGTATGAAGCTGTGCTTTAAATCCAATTGTTTTGCTTGTACACATTTAGTTATCCCATTGTTTTTCCCACTGAACTGTCTTAGCACCATTATACAAAGCCAAATGATTCCCAGTTCCATTCCATTGACCTCTGTGTCTATCTATATGTCAATACTATAATCCTCGATGACTGCAACTTTGTAACAAGTGTTGAAGACAGCAATTGTGCTTTTTATTCTTTTTTTCTGAGAGTTATTTTGCTATTTTTGTTCTTTTTTTTCCAAGAGTTATTTTGCTATTTTTGTTCACTTATTTTTCATTATTAATTTTAGAATCAATTTATTATTAACTTTAGCAAAGAGGCCAGTTGAAGTTTTGAAAAAAATGCATTGAATGTGCATATAAATTTGAGGACTATTAACATCAGTACGATAGCAAGTCTTCTGATTCATGAATATTAAATGTCATTCCAATTATTTAGATATTCTTAAAATTTTCAGAAATGTCTTGTTACAAAGTGGGAGACTCGTATATTTGTTAAATTTACTTCTACGTGCTTTATATTTGAAGGTTATTTTCATGAATTTATAGTGTACTTTCCTTATGTATAGATTCTGCTCTTATGTTTTCAACCAACTGCAGATTTAAAATGTGTACAAAAAATTGTTATAGTATTGAACATTTTCATTCCATAATTATTGCTTTAACAATGGGTTATAGCTGTTTACATTTCCTTTGTTTTATATATTGTGAATAATCAACACGATTTAAAGTATAAAGATATGTGTAGGTTATATGCAAAGATGATACCATTTTATAAAAACAATTGAACATGCTGAGATTTTTGGCATCTGTGGGAATTCTGGAACTGTTTAGGAATTCTGAGAGGTAATTTTATCTTTTCTCTGCTTACATTACCCATATGCTCCTGCAAGTTGTCTATTGTTTAAAAATTTTTGTGAGAGTTTTTAGCATGATCATACTTATTTTAAGCTTCTTTTTTGAGTAATTCAAATTTTCTGTTATATCTAATTGTGATTCTGATGCTTACTTTGTTTCTTTAAGCTGGTTTTGTTTATTTTTGCCTTTCAGTCTGCCTTGTAATTTTGTTTGAATGCTAGAGATAATATACTGGGTAAGAAGAACTAAGAAAATTTTTCTTTTATATGAGATTTTATGTTCATCTGCCAGGAGTTTGGCTATGTTGTTTGCTGTAGTTATGTCAGAGAATAAAACTCTTAAAGTCATTGTTTGGTCTTGTCTCTTTGCTCTGGGTTTCTAGACTCTTTAAAATTGGATTTGGGTCTTGCTTTTCCTACAACTCGTTTCCTCCCTATTGTTGTGGTGATAACCCTTGACAAAAAGGAAGCATTCTATAACCCTCTGGTTATGTTTTAGTTTTAGTGAATATGTGTATCTGGCCTATGATCTTCATGAAATACTTCTCAGTTTTTCCTTCTCTCTTAGGTAGAGGAAGGTTAGAATGTTTTCTCCCGTCTTCACCCTCAGATCCTAGCAGTGCTACTGAAGGTAAAATTCGTGAAAGTGAGTCCTGCTACCCCCAAGGCTGAACAACAGTTTTTATCTCTCATGATACTCAGCACTCAGAATCTAGCAATTATTCAGTTCCCCTTTAACTTTCCATGCCAATTGCTAGCTCTGGTAGTGGCTTCTTCTGGTCCTCATAATCTATGATGCTCTATATTCAACTGTGTCTTTACTCTCTATGGTGGTGCTCTGTGCCTTAACTTGTCTGGTAGAACTAAGATTTATTAATTTTCAGTTCATTCATTTTTAATGAGGTCAGAAAAGAAATGACAACTTTTAAGTTCTTTACAAGTTGGAATGAAAACTAGAAGTCCTGTTTGGAATATTCTTATTTTTATTTACAGATTTTTCATTGCTGGTATATGAAAATAAAAGGATTTGTGTATAGTAGCCTTGGAACCAGCAAACTTTTAGGTTCCTTTAATTAGTTCTGAAAGGTGTGTGTGTGTGTGTGCATGTGTTGGTACATATAAAAATACAGTCATCTGCATATGAGGATGATTTTAGCTTATCTTTCTAATCTGGTTATCATTTATGTCTTTTCTGGACTACTTTCCCTGGCTATAAACTATATTACAATGTTTTTTGTTGTAGTTGTTATTGTTTTGTACTGGGAATCGAACTCAGGACCTTGTGCTTGCCAGACAGACACTTGTGCTGCTGAGCTATATCCCCAGCTATATTACAATGTTAAATAAATAAAACAAATGCAGAACTAATGACTCTTTACTCCTTAGGGATAAAGCCCTCCATATCGTATCACCAAATTTGACGATGTGAGTTTTTCACCAATGCTTCACATGTGTGAAACCCTGGTTTCAATCCCCGACATGACAAAAGAACAAAAAATTAAGGAGATATTTAACAATTCCAAGTTAAACAAAAACTAAAAGATGCCATGCCATTCTATGTGCCTTACAATAAATAAACTGTCTCAGATGCATACATACATAGATATATACAAACATACAACCTTGGTTCTCAAAGAAAAGGACAGTGAATGGGAAGTCAAATTCATATACACAAAATAAAGAACACTAGTTTAATTACATATGTAGATATGAAAAACACCTAAATATACTTGGTTCTCATTTTCTTATCCTACCTAAATACAATTGCATCAAACAATAAGTATAAAATTGCTGAAATTACAGTGTAGAAAGTGTAATTTGTGTGACAATAATAGAAAGGAATATGCAGTTGAATTTGACAGTAAGGTGCTACTAATCCAAACTATATTATTTTAAATTAATTAATACAATAATTCACTAAATATTAATGCAAGTTCAAAGACATTTTCAGGGAAAAGATTATCTGTTACTCAAATGTTTTATAGTTTCCCTGCTCATAGAGAATACTGTGTACTCGATAAATAATAAATAACAGATATTTATTTGGCTCACAGTTCTGGAGTTCAGGAAGTCCAAGATTTAGGGGCCACATCTGGGGGCTTTCTTGTGTCGTAACATGTTAGAAAGGCAAATGAGTACATGAGAGACAGAGGAAGAAATTGGGCAAAGACAGCCTTCTTCTCAGGAATCCCCCCTTATGATATGTAACCCACTCCTAACCTCCTCTGATCACAGCAGGAATCAATTCAGATGAGATGGGGCACATTCAGGGTGGTATGGCCATAGACCAAGAATCAGTTCAGATGAGGCACAGCCCTCATCAGTTACTCCACCTCTTAAAGGTCCCTCCTTTTATGATGTCACCATGACAATTGAATTTCTATAAAAGTTTTAGAGGGGATATCAAGAGAAGCATGAAATGTCTAAAAAATTTTAAACTGTCAGGAAGACATGACAGTTATGTTTTCACAAAGTCCTAAAATTCATGTAGTTAAGGTGACAGGACTGAAGGAAAAAATAAGTGAGTCAACAGTAACAGATGGAGCTATAGTTAGCTGCATTCAACAATGGATACAGTAATTAGGCAGAAGATTGTAAAAGGCACAGAAGACCTAAACAAAACTACACGTGAATAAGACCTAACAAACATGAGTAGAACACTCCACCTAGAAAATTCCAACATTCTTTTCAAGTTCACATAGAACATTCTCCAGGATAGACCACATGTTAGAACATAAATCAACCATCAATAAATTTAAAAATATAGTTGCTTCCTGACTTTCAATAATGTTATGTTCCAATAAACCCATTTCAAGTTGAAAATATACTAAGTAAAAAAGTCGAATATAACCAAATCACTGAATATCCTAGCTTAGCAATAAAGCACACAGTTAAGACTGAAGTTGTTTTGTGTTGTGATCCTGTGGCTTCCATTATTGCTTAGTCTCATGAGAGAGTCTTAGAACACATTTTGCTAGCGAGGGAAAAAAAATCAAAAGTCACAATTCAAAATCCTCCTATCACTTTCATACCCTCATGAAATTGTAAAAACAGTTTTAATTTTCATATTTTTTAAGCTAGCAGACTGTCCATTTTAGCCACATTTTCTAGTTTCACTTTACGTTTTTAACTGCATATTTTAAATGATATGCCAGTTCTATGAATTGAATCCCCTATCCCTCTTACCTTTGTTGTTGTTATCTTTTGTTTTCATTTCTTGTTGATGTGTGCTCACTGGTAGTTTTTGTATTCTAATTCTGGATACTGTAGTCTGTATTTTTGGTCGTGAGATACTGATGTCTTTGCTGGCTTGCTTTGTGATTAGGCTGCTGACTCCCTTAAATCCTTCCAATCACTCTGCTTCCCACGCTGTGCCAGTGCACCTGTGATTTTGTTGGGGGTGACTCCGTCTTTGGAGGTTTGCCACACTGCTTCACCCTTCCAAACTTCTTTGTGGAAAGTTTTGGAGTCCACCAAGGTAAGAGTGGACACCTTTTCTGGGTCCTGCCCGTACTGGACATAGAGCTGCACATGTGTTTGATGTCCACATCTCCCTAAATATATTGGGGCTTTGCAGTGTCCCTACTTCACTCATGTTTAAGCTTTGGTGGCTAGCTCCTCATTCATTCCAATGGTGCAACCACTTCAGAAAGCTGAGCTGGAAACTGTTGTTTCTGATTATTTTTCATAGTGCCGTATGGACTAAGTTTCTCACTGTGTGAACTCTGAGTCAAGGCACATAAACTCATCGTTACAAATGGAGATTTTCAATAAGGGAAATCCAGGAAGTTCCAACAGTGACAGTTGATAATGATGGAGATGTTTGGAAAACCCCACACTTCTGACCCCTCCAATGCTTGCCAGGTTGCTGATTCTCCCACCTACTATCGCGTATGCCATTGACCTTTAAGGAGACCAGCAACAGAAGCTGAAAAGAGAGAATCAAGAAAACATTCAATTGAAACAGCAGAAAGGTTGTTGTTCCCAACCAAGATTTATGTGCTTTTTTAATGAATTGCTCCTATCATTTTTAAAAGCTTTTAGCAAATATCCAGAGTAATGCAAAGTAGATTTTGACAACTTTTAATTCCTTTTGTATTTCATACATTAGGTTTGTTTCTCATGAACTTTTGTTATCACCGTACTGATTTGTGTTCTGGTTTCACAAAATTAGTTTCAGAATCTTACATGTTCAATTGTTCAATTTTATTTGTATTAAAGGGGTATAATCTGCTATAGTAAGTTTAACAGATCATATTTGAAAATCTATCTAGGCCTTAGTCAATGTCATAATAGCAGATTCTCTTTTCCATTTTTTCTATGACTGCTTAATTTATTTTATAAAATTTTATCAGCATCTTTCTTTATATCCACTTACATGTCATTTATTATATATAATGTATATTTTTTGCTTCCATTTTTCTAATTAATCAGTCTGTGGAATTAGCTTGTTTTATTACTTTTTAAATAACCCCTTTCATTTTATTTATTTTTATGTTATATTTCTGGTCATTTGCCTCATTAACTATTGTTCTCCACTCTCTTAAACCTTCTTGTTTTGATGCTTGCTGTGTCTCAGCAGTTTTGGAATGAATTATGGTATTGAGATAATTGAGATTCAGAGCATTATCTATGGCCCAAATCTGTAGCTATAACCTGGCTTTTATATAGCTTTGTGGGGATCTTAAGCTATTGTCTCTTTTCTCTGAATGCTTGTTTCAGCTGTGAACCAATATAATCAACCAACGTATAGTCCAGGTGAATACAGAACAGGTTGCTTGGCAAACGACTGCAATTCTTGCATCTATATTCATGAAATTAATGTGCTAAACAGTCAGGATATTACACTGCACATTATCTTAAAATAAGCGTTTTATTTTTTCACATTGTCTCACTCTAATTACCAAGGCTCTGTTGCAAATGCATTTTAAATTTCAGTAGTGATTAAATGGCAGTTTTATTATTTACTGTGGTCATTGCTGACTGTTGTACATTGTTTGCTGACTCAGTTTAAATTTATAAAATGTGCACATATTCTGGATTTTTTCCCAGAAAGGAACGTGACTTCAGGTCATATAAATGGAGACCAAATCCTTTTGTTGGTAAATTTGTGAATATCCTAAAGCACAGTAGATTAGCAGTTAATCTGCCTTTCCTAGATGAGTTTAAGTCCTGGAGAAATTTGTAGAACCCACTAATCATATTTCCATGTAGACAGTGGTTGTTTTGCTACAGACCATGAAAACAAGGCTACAAGACGAACGTTTGTCTGGCATCAAGGAGAATACTGGACAGTAACTTTAAAAACCAAGAAATGAAATTATTCAAAAGACTATCACATGAAAGTATGAACTTAATTTTATACTTCATTAATATTCTAATATTTGTGTGGAAGTAATAAGCCAATAATATATATGTTAGGGATTTTACCCAAACAGTGTTGGTGGCAGAGCTCTGTCCTTAGCACCTGTGCATGAGGGAGGGTGCTTCGGGAGTCAGCTGGGCTGCAGCGCAGACAACTCTGGATTCACTAGCAGAACATGTAGCTCCAAATTCAGGTCTTGCTGTTTAATATTTCAGTAAACTCGATGACCACCTAGCCACTCTGAATCTTTATTTTCATGAGGATAAAAGGAAGTTTTATGAGCAGAGTAACTTCAGTGACTCCTGCGGCTCCGCAGGGTAAATGAGCAGGGCCACAATGGTGAGCAGGTGCTGCAGTAACATGGGAGTGAAGAAGGATCCCAGCAAGCCTTCATCCAAAAAGTGCTGAAATTAATTTGAGGGGAGGAAAACCAAGTGTAATGTAGTACTAGCAGATCAAAGTCAGGGAAAAAATTAAATTACTGTGATAATGCTCAGGAAAGATAAATCCTCCACTCAAGTCACACATGGCCAAAAGTCAGGCTGAATCTGCCCCCAGTAGCTCTTTTCAAAAACACTGGGGACATTCGCAAGTGTTACTTAAGAATACCTAGCCTAGCATGAGACCAAGGGTGTTTGCCCCTCCCAGTGCTACCTTCTGTCCTGAGCTGGATCATTGATTTCTCACACCTCTTACCCAGGGTGCCGGTTTGTTGTAGTCAAAATGACTCAGATTTTTGAATCCCTATTTCCCTATTTATAGGAAGTCATCATGGTTGCTGGTTTCTCAACCGGCAACTGTACACCAATAATGTGTATTTCCATTCTCTCCTCTGTCCCTGGCCTAGCATGAATCAATGACTGACATGTATGCATTCCTTTTCTTTTGGGCTACATGGTGCACTTCTGCTGGACACGCCTTCAATAAATATGTTTAGGGTCCATGCTGTGCTAGACACAGAACTAAGTGTTGTCGGTGAAACAAGTCTTAACTCCAGCATGATGGAGCTTGCAGAGGAGGAGGAGCTAAAGAAGTTACGCCAGCCATGCCTGGAAATATAATGACAAACTGATTTTATGGTGGCTTATGTATTTATTTATTTATTTATTTATTTTAAAATTGACACATAGTAATTATACTTATTTACGGGGTGCACAATGGTAGTTCAATATATGTTTAAAGTGTGTGATGCTCAGACTATAATTAGCATTTGTATCTCCTTAAATATTTTCCATTTTTTTTGTGTTAGGGAACTTCAAACTCTTCCCTTCTAGGACTTTAGAAACTGTATAAAAAGTGTTATGAGCTGTAGTCTCCTATTGAGCAGTAGGATGTTAGCACGCTTTCCCCCATCTTATATGTAAGATATATTTTTATCTTTGTACCTGCCGCCAGACCTCCCTCTACCCCCACCCACAGCCACCAGACATCACTGTTCTACTTGCTGTGTCTGTGAAACCAACTGTGAAACCATTCTCACCAATATGAGTGAGAATGTGCAGTAGGTCTCTTTTCCCACCTGACTTATGGCAGTTACTACTAATAATCTCCAACTGCATCCAGGTGTTTGCCAGTGACAGGATTTTCACTCTTGGTGATTTAGGTTTTGAAGGACCGATGCGAGATGCTGTGCCTTGCCATGAGGAGTTGAGAACGCAATTGTGGAGAGACAAAATTTAACTGGGATCTGAAGCCCTTACTGAGAGCTCACAAGGCCAGGGGTGGAATGGAGTAGAGAGAAATATAGGTCCAGACGGGAGTAATAGCATGACCAAATGAAGGATTGTGGCCCACTTGCGCAGCAGTGGGTGCAGCAAGGTGGCTGAATTCGAGAGAGGAATTAGGAAGGTGGGGTCACATGGTGTTCACACTCTCCTAGTTTCACTTTAGCTTTAAAGCTCATTGTTATCTATGAGAAAAAGTCTTCAGATTCTCAATTTCAATAG